CAATAAATATTTTTGAAGTATTGAATAAACATAATTTTTTATAAAGATTTATATAAATATTTTTAAGTAGTGTATATTGAGTTATATGTGGTTTTGTATATTTTGGCTATTAACACCTTATCAGATATGATTTACAACTACTTCTTTCCCATTATCATTGTCTTTCACTTTGTTTCTTTTGCTGTGCAGAAGCTTTTTAGTTTTATGTAGTCCTAGTTGTTTATTTTTATTTTGTTCCTTGTGTTTTAAGTATCCTATCTAAAGAATCACTGCCAAGACCATGTTAGGAGCTTTTATTCCTATGTTTTCTTTAAGGAGTTTCATGGTTCAGGTCTTACATTTAAATCTTTAATCCATTTCTAGTTAATTTATGTAAGTTTTATAAGACAGAGGTCTAAGCTTCATTCTTTTACTTGTGAATATCCAGTTTTTCCAGCACAATTTATTGAAAAGATTGTCTTTTCTCTACTGAGTATTCTTGTCTCCCTTGTTAAATATAAGGTGACTATATGCTTAGGTTTATTTCTGGGCTCTCAATTCTGTTCCATTGATCTGTTGTCTGTTTTTATGCCAGTACCATATGGTTTTGATTAATACAGCTTAAAATTAGGAAGTGTGATGCCCTTCCCCTTTGTTCTTCTTTCTCAGGATTCTTTTGGCTATTTGGGATCTTCTGTGATTCCATATAAATTTTATAATTGTTTTTTCTACTTCTGTAAATAATGTTATTCAAATCGTTATAATGTTTGTATTGAACCTACTTTGGTAGTATGAAAATTTTAAAAATATGAATTCTTCCAATCTATGAACATGGGATACCTTTCCATTTATTTGTGTCTTTTATTCCCTTCAATATCTTGTAGTTTTCAAATAGAGATCTTTTCCCTCTTTGGCTAAGTTCATTCCTAAATATTTTATTGTTTTTGATGCTATTGTAAATGGGATTTTTTTTCTTATTTCTTTTTCAGATAATTTGTTGTTAATGTCTGGAACTGCTACCAATTTTTATGTTAATTTTGTATCCTGAAACTGTATTGAATTTATTGATTAGATCTAACAGTTTTTTTGTGTGGAGTTTTTAGGATTTCCCTATATAAGATTATGCCACCTGCAAATAAAGACAATTTTACTTCTTCTATTCCAGTTCTGATGCCTTTCTTTTTCTTTTCTTGGTTGCTCAAGCTAGGACTTCTGGTATTATGATGTATAGGAGTGCTGAGAGTGGGCACACTTGTTTTGTTCCTGTTTTTAGAGGAAAATCTTTCAACCTTTCACCATTTAGTATGATGAAAGCTGTGGACTTATATATGGCTTTTATTATGTTTAGGTACATTCCTTCTGTACCTAATTTGTTTAGAGTTTTTATCATGAATGGGTGTTTCATTTTCTCAAATGTGTCTATTGAGATGATCATATGATTTTTCTTTCATTCTATTAATGTATCACATTGCTTGATTTGATTATGTCAAACCATCCTGGCATCCCATGTGTAATTCCACTTGATCGAATGATCCTTTTAATATGCTGCTGACTTTGCTTTGCTAGTATTTTACTGAGAATTTTTGCATCTATATCAGAAATATTGTTCTGTTGTTTTCTGGTAGTGTCTTTCTCTGGCTTTGGTATCAGGGCGATGCTGGCCTGATAAAATGAGTGTAAAAACCATTTAGTCTTGGGTTTTTCTTCACTGGAGATTTTTGATTACTGATTCAATGTTGTTAGTATTAATTGATCTACTCAGACTTTCTATTTCTTCCTGAGTCAGTCTTGGTTGGTAGTTTGTTTATAAGAATTTTTTTTCCATTCTCGGTTGTCCAGTTTGTTGGAGTACAGTTGTTCATAGTAAACTCAAGATTCTTTGTATGTCTGTGATGTCATTTGTAATGTTTCCGTTTTCATTTATAATTTTGTTGATTTGAGTTCTGTTTTTGTCCCCCCCCCCCCAGTCAGTCTAGTAAAATTTTACCAATTTTATCTTCTCAAAGAACCAACTCTTAGTTTGGTTAGTCTCATCTATTGATTTCCTTTTCCCTATTTCATTTTTTTCTGTTCTATTCCTTATTACTTCCTTTTTTCTACTAACATTGGGCTCAGTTTCTTCTTTTTCTAGTTCCTTAAGGTGTAGAATTAGGTTGTTTGGGATCTTTCTTGCTTCTTAATGTGGGCATTTACTGCTATCAGCTTCCCTCTAAGACCTGCTTTTGCTGCATCCGATAAGTTTTGGTATTTGTGTTTTCCTTTTTTTTTTTTTTTTTTTTAAGATTTTATTTATTTACCTGAGAGAGAGAGAGAGAGAGAGAGAGAGAGCGAGCTAGTGAGGAGAGGTTTAGAGGGAGAGAATTCCAAGCAGACTCCGCACCAAGCCCAGACGGAGCCCGATGTAGGGCTCAATCTCACAACTCTGAGATCATGACCAGCCTAAACCAAGAGTCAGATGCTTAACTGACTGAATTACCCAGGCACCCGGTTATTTGTGTTTTCATTTTTGTTCATCTCAAGATGCTTTGTTTCCCCCTTTATTTTTTGATCCATTCGTTACTCAGGAGACTGTTGGAAAATTCACAAATACATGGAAATTAAACAATTTTCCTCCATTGATTTCAAGTTTTATACTAGTGTGGTCATAGAAGACACTTGGTATCTTTTGATGGTATGATTTCAAGCTTGAATTTGCTAATATTTGTTTCATGGCTTAACCTATGATCTATCCTAGAAAATGTTCCATGTGAACTTAAAAATATGTATTCTGCTCTTGCGAAATTAAATTGTTTACAGTGTTATTCAAATTCACCATTTCCTTACCGATTATTTGACTGGATAATCTATTATTGAGAGTGGGGTATTAAAATTTCCAACTATTCCTACAATCTTTTTTTTTTTAACATATAATGTATTATTTGTTTCAGAGGTAGGAAGGGAAAAATGAAAGGGGGGAAATTGGAGGGGAAGAGGAGCCATGAGAGACTATGGACTCTGAGAAACAAACTGAGGGTTCTAGAGGGGAGAGGGGTGGGGCGATGGGTTAGCCTGGTGATGGGTATTAAAGAGGGCATGTATTGAATGGAGCACTGGGTGTTATATGCAAACAATGAATCATGGAACACCACATCAAAAACTAATGATGTAATGTATGGTGATTAACATAATAAAATAAATAAAATTTCCAACTATTGCTGTTTATTTCTGGCTTTGCTTTATGCATTTATGTTCTCTGATGTTAGGTACATAGATACTAACAATTATTATCTTCTTGATATATTGACCCTTTTATCATTATATAATGACCTTCCTTGTCTCTTTTTACTATTTGTAAAGTCTGTTTTGTCTGATATTTGGGTAGCTATCTCTGCTTATTTGTGTCTTTAAGGATAAAGTCAGTGTCCTGTACGCAACATATCATTTAATCTTTTTTTAAAAATCCATTCAGCCATTCTATATCTTTTGATGATAGAATTTAATATGTTTTTATTTGATGTAATTATTGATAAGAACTTCCTATTGCTGTTTTGTTCATTGTTTTCTGGTTGTCTTGCAGATCCATTGTTCTTATTTCTTCTCCTGCTATCTTGTGTGTGTGTGTGTGTGTATGTTTTGATGCTACGTGAGATCAATATCCTTTGACTTCTTTATCATGTTCTTATGTGTGAGTACTCCAGGTTTTTCCCTTGTGGCTATGATGAGGGTTACCTAAAATATTTTTAAATTATAACACCCTATTTTAAATTAATACCTAAGCTTTACACTTTTACTTCTTCTCTCCCTCACATTTTAGGTTATCGGTGTTACAGTTTACATATTTTTTTATATTGCACAATAACCATTTATTATGGTTAAGGTTATTTTTACTCTTTTAATGTTTAAAGTAGAGTTGTTAAATGCTTAATGCTCCACCATTACCATATTACAGATTCCAACTTTGACTATATATATACCATTACCAGTGAGTTTTATACTACCTTATGTTTTTATGATGTTAACTAACATTGTTTTATTTCCAATCATGGAACTCCTTTTAGCTAGTAGTGATGAATTTCCTCAGCATTTATTTGTCCCTGAAAGTCATTTCCTTTCAATATTTTGAATATGTCACCCCATTCTTTTCTGGACTGAAAAGTTTCTGTTGAGAATCTACCAATTGTCTTATAGGGTCCCCTTGTATATAACTTCTCTCTTTTGCTGCTTTTAAAATAAGCTGTCTTTGATTTGACAGTTATGTGTCTTGGTGTAGCCCTATTTGGTTCAACCTATTTGGAATTTTTTAGGCCTCTTGGATCTGGGTGTCTTTTTCTCTCTTGGGCTTGTAAAGTTTTCAGCCATTTTATTGCTTTAAATATTGTTTCTTCCCTTTTTCTCTTCTCCTGGAATTCCCATAATGTGAATTTTTTTTTCATTGTGTCCCAAGGCTTTCTTCTTTTTTCTTTTTGCTCTGGTGGATAATTTAAAACCCCTTATCTTCCAGGTCATTGATTCTTTCTTCAGCATGGTCCAGTCTGCTTCTGAAGTTCTCCATTGAATTCTTCAGTTCAGTGTGTTTTTCAACTCTAGGACTTCTCATTTTTTTATGGTTTCTATTTCTTTGTCAAACTTCTCATTTTGTTGATTCATTATTTTCCTTTTTATTTAGTTGACTGTGTTCTTGTAAGTTTACTACAATTCTTTAAGAAGGATTATTCTGAATTTTTGCCTGACAGTTCATATATCTCCATTTCTTTATGATCAGTTATTAGAGCTTTGTTAGTTTCCAGTAGCCATTCTTCTTACTTTCTAAAGCAGTCTGTCTTGGTCTCTGTGCTGCAGGGTGGTGCTTCAGCCTCATTTTCATGTTCCAGGATTATCTCCATGATGTTTTGGCCATAAATAGTTGTTAGTTATTCTTCTTGTGAGGGGGAACAAAGTCAGGAATGACTTATGTTGCCATCTTGTTGGTGTCATGCTCTATAAATCAAAAATGCTTTTTCAGAGTTAAAGTAGTACATTGAATTCCAATTTGTATGTTCCAGGGCTGATTATCATATTTCAGGACACAACTGGACATAACTCTAGAAGAATCAAAGAGTAGAGCTGAATAAGAGAGTTGAGATCCATAAATCAGGACGTCAGAATGGAGGTAAGCCAGAGCTAGAATGTCAAACCTAGATTGAAATTATTTTGGTAGGTGATCCACACAAGATAATTCCAAAAGGGGTTTTCTAAACATGATTCTGAAGAATCCAGGAGCAGGGAGTCCTTGGAGTTGGCATACAATTATCACTGTCCCTCATAAAACCTTCTTGCATGGGTTTCTAAAGCAGAGAACTTTTGTTCTGACAGAGAAGACCGTTGTGATTCAATCAGGGCCTCAACTGAAAAGGAACTGGAATACTCAGCAGTATATCAAGAAAAAAATCTAGTCTCAAAGCTGAGAGGTGATGTCTTGATCTCAGAATGAAGCAGAACACTTTAGAGGCTCAGTGTAAAGACAAATGATCAACAAATGTTTCAGAATGGTAATCCTGGGCTCCTTAAAATCTTCCTTAACTAAAGCCAGGAAACTCTCTAGAAAACAAATATGGAAATATATTAGTTCTGGAGGTGGGAGAAGAGAAGGAGGTAGAGACTGAGAATTTAAAATCTCCAAAATGACACCTATGGGTAGACCCCAAAACATTATGTCATATTTATTCTGTTGTGTATTTGTTATTTTTTCCACTTTATACATAGAAATAGACCTGTAGTCCCAATTCTCTAAGAACTTATATTCTAGAAAAAGAATTACAGAAATAGCATCTAAATGTACAATAAAAATAAGCATGGGGGGTTGGGAAGGTATCAGAAAGTGATCTGGGAAGTCCCACTCACCTTGCTGGGTAGTGTTTAAAAAATGAGCCAGTTTTTCTGTTCCTCAGCTATGTCAATCATGAATTGACAGAGTAGGATTAAATGAGGTTCACCTTCCACTTCTAGCATTTTTTTTATTATTATGTTACGTTAATCACCATACATTACATCATTAGTTTTTGATGTAGTGTTCCATGATTCATTGTTTGCATATAACACCCAGTTCTCCATTCTGTACATGCCCTCTTTAATACTCATCACCAGGCTAACCCATCCCCCCCACTCCCCTCCCCTCTAGAACCCTCAGTTTGTTTCTCAGAGTCCATAGTCTCTCATGGTTCATCTCCCCCTCTGATTCCCCCCCCCTTCATTTTTCCCTTCCTACTATAATCTTTTTTAACATATAATGTATTATTTGTTTCAGAGGTACAGGTCTGTGATTCAACAGTCCTACACAATTCACAGCACTCACCATAGCACATACCCTCTCCATGTCTATCACACAGCCACACCATCCCTCCCACCCCTCACCACTCCAGCAACCTTGATTGTTTCCTGAGATTAAGAATTCCTCATATCAGTGGAATCATATACATGCCTTCCTCTGATTGACTTATTTCACTCAACATAATACCCTCCAGTTCCATCCACGTCATTGCAAATGGCAATGCATAATATTCCATTGTATATATATATACACACCACATCTTCTTTATCCATTCATCTGTCGATGGACATCTTGGCTCTTTCCATAGTTTGGCTATTGTGGACATTGCTGCTATAAACATCGGGGTGCATGTATCCCTTCAGATCACTACATTTGCATCTTTGGGGTAAATGCCCAGTAGTGCAATTGCTGGATTGTATGGTAGCTCTATTTTCAACTTTTTGAGGAACCTCCATACTGTTTTCCAGACTGGCTTCCAGCTTGCATTCCCATCAGCAGTGTAGGAGGGTTCCCCTTTCTCCGCATCCCTGCCAACATCTGTCATTTCCTGACTTGTTAATTTTAGCCATTATGACTGGTATGAGGTGGTATCTCACTGAGGTTTTGATTTGGATTTCCCTGATGCCGAGCGATGTTGAGCACTTCTTTATGTGTCTGTTGGCCATTTGGATGACAACTGACAGAATGGGAGAAGATATTTGCAAATGACATATCAGATAAAGGGTTAGTGTCCAAAATCTATAAAGAACTTAACACCCAAAGAACAAATGATCCAATCAAGAAATGGGTAGAAGACATGAACAGACATTTTTCCAGCATTATTCTTTAGAACTTTTATTCAAAGCTAATATAAACTCATACTATTCAAAATTTTTAAATCGTCAAATTTTCCACAGCTGTTTTGTAATGTCCTCTCAGAAGTGTTAAACAGGGCTCACGAGATCTTTATGAATAGAGTTCCTTCATTAGAGGTGGACTACAGGACCCATTGTTTGAGGCAACGTGATGGTTTAGATGACTTTAGCAAATGTTTTTCATATCCATGATCCTATGGAAACAGTTTGCTCCTTGACTTTATTAAAATGGTTTTTCAACTCTAATACATCATAAAACAATGCAAAGCACATTTTTAAATTTTCTTGATTGCCATAAGCACATACCCTTTATAGGCACTCAGTTTTTGTTATATCAATGTATATAATTTTAGAAATGGAATTTTCTGTATGCAACAGGCAAGACTCATTTTGATGGTTTTGCATGCTACGTCCAGGTGTAAATCATTTGGAACATTAACTTTTTAACTTTAAAGCTCTGGCAGTTTAAAATCTTGTTCAATGTGCAGTTTTACACTTTATGACATCAGCAAAATTTTAGAATAGTGGCAGATTGATGGAGAAGGTAATCTTTGTTTTAGTCAAATTAAAACTACTTCATAGTGAAAGTATTCCATATTTAGTGATAGAATTTTTTTTCCTTAAGCAGTACATATGTGCAGTATTGCTGTGATTGACAGATAACCAGGGACTATAACATAAATTACCAATAAGTGAACTGTCATTCATCCTACACATGAATTTTTGCATGAAAAGCTACTGTGTACTAAGGTCTTACCAAGTGCCAGGTCCTAATTAAATAGCAATGATACAATGATGTAAAAATGCAACAATGGTGATATCTATACATATATCTGATTATATATCTCAGTAATAGAGATATACATATCTGATATATATAAATATATATCAGATGTATTTATGGTATAGATGTGCATACGTGCATATAAACATACATATGTATTTATACACATACATGCATAAAGATTTTATGTATAAAATGTTTAAAATGAGCTTCCTTTTAGCACACATTCCATTGCTGCTACTAAAAATTTCAATCCATCCCTTCACAACAAAAATCCTTGAAAGAAATATATTTATTTAGCTTTACTTCATTCTCTTTCTAAATCCCAGCAGGGATAGTCTGACTAGTTCCCCTTTAACAAAAGAAAAGATGTCAAGATCACAAATGTTTCCCATACGTCTAAAGCCAATAGTTCATTCTCAGTCTTCATCTTTCTGGAAATATCATGATTTGACACACCCAGTCAGTCACCTTCTTAAGCTAATTTACTTACTCGGATTCTAGAAAAAGTAGTGTTTCTTGTTTCTTGTACAATCTTCTGTTGTACTTGTTGATCTCTGTTGATTTCTCTTCATGTCTCCAATTTGGCATGCATGAGGGTCTCCAAAGTTATCCCTCTGTTTTTGCTACACTCACCACAGAGAGGTTATCTTTAACCCTCATGGCTTCAGAATCCATCTTTATGTTGATCTGTCTCAAATTTATACCTTCAAACTTGCATCTCTAGCTATTCCAGTGCTCAGGCAAAATAGTTGACTCATTTTTAGCTCTTCTTTCTCCCCTACTCCATATAAAATCAATCCACACGTTCTTGAAGTCTCTTATTTCTAATATATCACAAATGTGACCACTTATCACCAACCTCATGACTGCCAGTCTTGCTCAAGACACCATTATCTTTTGTCTATTCCACACTAACACAAGATGTTAATAGGAAAAAGTGGGGTGGGGGAGGTGGGCAGCAGAGGGGTTACATGAGAATTCTTTACTTTCCCTTCAATTTTTATGTAAACCTAAAACTGCTCTAGAAAATAAAGTCTGCTAAAAGTCCCTAAAACTCCTACATGCTAAAATTCTATTAAACATCTCTAGCATTACAGCATTTACTTCAGTACCTATACTACCACACTGCATTTTAAGTACTAAGCAAACAAAATTAAACACTTCATGGCATATTGCCTTCTAGAAGAATATGGTCTTTGGGGGGGAAAACCCTCAATTTTAATCAATAATGTTCAAAAGGAGAAATATACTCACATTACTAAATTGAGGTGTATAATAAGTAGTATTGTCTTATGTAAGTATAATAACTGGTATTCTATAGTGATGGCTATTTTTCACAAAATTCCCTGAATAACAGAGTGAACTAATAGCCCAGGACATTCTAGTCCTTAGCTAATACAACATTTCTTTGATGTTTATGATTTCTGTTACATAAAATATCCAGCATAATCTTAATGTAAAATAATAGTTTTATCAGTTTATATTTACTCAAATATAGGAAAAATTAGAATTCCAAAGAGTTACATGATTTTTATCTCACCAAATAGATGTAGAAAGTTTTACACTGGCCTCTCCACAAAGAATGTGTCCACTCAATGGCCTAGGTGTGGAGGGCAAAGTGGATGTGTGTAAACAAGATCACCAATAGCACTCAGGAATTTTTCCAATCCATATCCCACTTCACTTATATGCACTTAAGGCATGTTTGTTTGCTTTCATTTACTCACTTATCTTTAGTTCTTTATCAAGAGGCTAAGTATGGTAGGACGTGCACACTATTAATGGAGGAAATCTCCAAAACTTTATACAGGTAGTCTTAGATGAATTGAATAGCAGCATTCCAAGCTAGGGTCTTTTAATGCTCTTTTTAAGTTTTCATTTAAATTTCAGTGAGTTAACATATAGTATAGTAATAGTTTCAAGTCTACAATATAGTGATTCACAAGCTGTTGTCTTTTAAAGCAGATATTGTTGTGTGGCATTCTTAACATGAGAAGTCTTCATTCCTGAGCAGGTTGGATGACCTGCTTCTCCATTTCCATGTAATCTACATGCAAGGAAGTTTGTATCAGATACATGAGGATGTTTTTTCCATACTGTCTCTAGTAACTTCTAGCCAAATGCAAAGTAAACTAAATACATTAAGAGCTCATCCAACTTGGAATGTATTGTATTGAGAAAAGAACCTTCAAACTAGGAATTCCCAACGCTGGTGGTCCTACAGAATCTTTCTGGAGCTTCTGTGAGGTCAAAACTACTTTTGTAATAAAGATGTTTTTCACTCTTCATTATATTGACTTTGAATTGATAGCTCAAAATAAATAGCAGAGCAGTTGGTTCCAGTGACTCAGATTGTAGGAGAGATTATGCTCAAAGAAATGTGCAAAGAAATATTTTGAAATTTTGGAATGCATATTACTCTACTGAAAGAATGCTTACTATTTTATCATTAGTTTTCATATGTCAGAATTGGATTTTCATTTTAAGGAATATGCTTTAGGTACTGGTCATCTGTCTTTATCCTATCAGCACTAACGAGTCTACTTTGACTTTTGTAATATCACTAATGCTATGACTGGAAGTGGTGTGTTGAAATTAAAATATGCCAACTTTATTCTAATTATTTAGTGGGAGAAATGTTTTCTTTATATTTCAAGACTGCATAAAGTTTGTAAAACATGACATTTTCCATTTACTATTTCTTGTTGTCAAAGTAGCTTAACCATGACAACAGGGAAAAATCATGAACTTATTTTTACTAGGAATATGTAAAATACTTAAACATTTTTTACATTTAAACACTTATCCTAATGTGCCAGTTAACTCCTCTTTTCTCTTGTCTTCAGCAATTTAGTTACTGCCGCAAATGCTGATTATTCCAGATAGCAGTCATCAACATTATTCAGAGGAAATTAATGGAAGTTTCTTGAGGAATTATCTGGAAAGATATGGCTATAGGTCCAGTTACATAATAATCAAATTTATAGTAGACAAATGCAGGAATTTTGGAGCTCAGAAGCTTAAACATAATTCAACAAACAATGAGGTGTCCATATCTGTTTCCAAAACAGTTTTAGAAACATTGCAGTTTTGGAATCCCTTAAGGTTCTTTGAAACTTTCATGGGAATGTATCCAATAATCATGCTCATAGGTTATACATGCAAAAGTTCATTTATAAATCCATATAAATCTTTTCTTAAAATGAAGTATATATTTCAGTATAAGGTTTTCTATTTGAATCTTATTCAATGGAAGAAAGATTTAGTTTGTCCTGTCTTATTTTCTATTCCAGGAAAGAAGCCCATATAAAAGCTTTTAGGTACCTCTGACCTAAGGGTATTCATTCAAGAAGTTGCAGGGTAAGTAACTTCACCTGCATGCTTTTGTCATTTTGGAAATTATAATCTGGAAAAATATGTGTATTGTGGAAGAAAATATTTCTTCCTGTTATCATACATTACCCATCTTTCATTATAGCTCCTTTTAGAGATTTAGGGGTTCACTTTTAAATTTAAACAAATGAATATTACATTACAATATCTTTTCTTTCCTCTGTGGGAAGCTAAGGATTAGTCCTTTGATTTATTTGTTTGCCGTTCTCTTCATTTGTATTCATTTCTGTATTACTTTTTTGTAGTCTACTTGTTTATAAAACACCTTTTTGAAGATTTTTTCCACTTTATCAATTTCATTTTGAAATAACTACTTCTCTTACTAATTTTGGATATCTAATTTTTGTATTAATAACATGAACATTAGTTGTAATCGATTAAGAATACTTACTGGTTTTTAAATATTCCATTAGTTCCTAACTTCTTTTTCCTTTTTTTTTTTTATTTTTGGATGCAGGTCATGGGGTTCTTAATAAAATTCCACCTTGTTGTGGAAACAGATTTTTGTCAGTGCCTGCCATACCATAGGCTATCTACACAGAGGACAGTCTTAATAACTGGGCTGAATTGCTAGAGTACAGAGCCAAGAGAGTTTCCGAATCATGTTTTTTGCTCTTTTTTTTTTTTTTAAGTGGGCTCCATGCTGGGCTCATGATCCTGAGATCAAGACCTGAGCAGAGATCGAGTTAGATGCTTAACCCATTGAGGCACCCCCAAAACATGTTTTAATAAGTAAAATTAAGTTTTGTACTGAATCCTCTTGTTCTTAATGTTTAAATTCCTTTAGAGAGCTTCATAATTTTAATCCCATTTCACCTTTGATTTTTATAATTAATGTTTTCATAATTTCCTTTTTTTTGGATTAAGAGAATAAGGAGAAATAACTGGATTTTTATACCTGTATTCAACATTAGTTGGATATTAAGCCTGGTGGCTTATGATATGTGATAACAGATTGGAACTTGGGGAGAAAATGGCAATTTTATTTCTTTGAGTTTCATGATGGTGGAATTCATTCCAATATCCAAAGGCAAAGAGGCACATAGCCCAGTTCTCTTAAAAAGCTTCTTCTGAAAGTTGACATCTGTTGTATGTTAATTGAGTAAAATGAAATAGGAAAGGAGGGATTGTTGGTTCCCTGGGTACTTTATTAGTGTTCTCACTATTCAGATTCTCAAAGAAAAGTGGGGAATACGTATATCAGGTGATGATCAAATACAACTGCTGTTGTCATGAAAATTAATATTGATATTAGTTGACAATGTTTTGTCTTCCTTTGATGTTAGACAAGATATTGTTATTCCCTGCACAAACATTTTAGTATATTACTAAGGTTAAAGCAACTTGAAGTCAGTTTTAATAAAGATCCATATCAAAACCCTTGTGAAACACTATTACAAATTAAACATCCTTAATGTTTTGTAACACGTCTTTATGAGACAATTCTACTCTATGGAAAGAGATGCTCTATATTGTCTTCAATTTGGATAAAATTAACACCAATTAAGTGTCCCTTATCAAGATGTCACACCATGAACACTTGTAATATTGCTGCCCCAGGTGATCCCATAGAATCCTGAAGTGTTTTCTCAGCTACAAACTTGCCATATGATATCATTGCTTTGATTCTGCAGTTGCTATGGTACCCTGAACATATTCTCAGTATTAGTCCCTCAGGGCATAAATTAAGAAACACCAGCATTGTAGGATGTCAAGTGCTTAGCTCCCACTGGTCATGATGCTGGTTTAATTTATTGAAAAGAAAAGAAAACTAGCTCTGAGCTGGAATAAACTATTAAATAGAATCCTTTGTATATAAATACCAATAATCATATAAGATTATCTGGGTTGAAACATTTTAAAGCAATATCAATATTTTTTAGATTAAGGCATCAATGTCCATTTAAACTCCCAATTCTTGAGTATTTCAAAAGTTCATTATATAGAGATAATACTCTTAAGAGTTTTGGAATCATTGTTTGTATTCAATTGACTTCTTTTGTAGATACCCTAAAACTAATTTTTATTTGGCTTAATATTTACTTCTGTTTGTTTGCTTTAAGAACAAATTGGTATCTAAGTCACATACCACAAAATTCATTCATTTAAAGTGCTCAATTCAATGGTTTTTAGTAAAATCAGAGTTGTGCAACAATTACTATAATCTAATTTTAAAAGATTTGTCATCATCCCAGAAAGAAACTACCTACCCACCAGCAGCTATTGCCCATTCTCCCTTTACTAACCACTAATCTATTTTCTGTCTCTATGGATCTACCTATTTTGGACATTTCATGTAAATGGAATCATAGAACATATGACCTTTTGTGACTGGTTTCTTTCACTTAGTATAGTGTTTTCAAGGTTCATCCACATTGTAGTATGGATCAGTTCTTTTTATGACCAAATAATATTCCATTATATGGACATACCACCTATCTATCTCATTCTTCAGTTGATGAGTATTTGGGTTGTTTTCAGTTTTTGGCTATTATGAAAATGGTGCTATGAATATTTATATACAAGTTTTTGTGTAGATGTAGGTTACTTCCCTTGGAATTACTGGATCATATGACAATTCTTAATGTTTACATTTTTAAGGACTGTCAAACTACTTCCAAAAATGGCTGCAATATTTTATATTCTCACAAGCAATGTTTGGGGGTTCCAATTTCTCCACATTCTCACCAACACCTGTTAGAGTCCATCTTTTTCATTATAGCTATCCTGGTAGAGGTGACATGGTATCTTATTGTGGCTTTGATTTGAATTTCCTAATAACTAATGTTTTCATATACTAAAGGGTCACTTGCATATTTTCTTGGGAAAAATATATATCCAGATACTTTGCCCATTTCTAATTGGGTTATTTGTCTTTGTTTTGTTTTTGTATATTCTGGACACAAGTCCCTTCTCAGATATAGGATTTGCAAGTATTTTCTCATTATGTAGTTGTCTTTTCAAATTCTCGGCACTTTTATTTAAAGCATAAAACAAATTGGTTTCATCAAAATTTTCTGTTTTCAATGCAATAGAGATTTACTACCATATTTTGTCCTAAGAGTTTTATAGTTTTAGGTCTTATATTTAGATGTATAGTACATTCTGAGTTCATTTTTATAAACGAGGTGAGGTGAGATAGGGGTTCAACTTCAATGTTTTGCTTGTGGATATCTAGTTGGCCCAGAACTATTTGTTGAAACGATTATTCTTTCTTATTGAAATAACATGCCAATATCCAGTTAACCACAAATGTAAGTTTCTTTCTGGTCTGTGGACACAAATTTTATTCCATTGAGCTAAATGTGTATCCTGCCAGTTAAAAATTGTGAATCCTATAGTTTTTGAGTAAGTGTTAAAACCAGGTAGTGCCAGTTCTCCAAAGTTATTATTCTCTTCTAATTCTTCTATTGTTTTCATACTTTTTTTTTTTTTGGTTAAGAATGTTATCCACATGTGCCTCCAAAACTGGCACTAAAGAACAACCACTTGGAAATTATTCTGGCTTTTGTTGCTGAGGCAAAACTGCCTCTGGAGAAATGATTGGTTCAAATCATTGGAAATGTTATTATCATTGCATGCACTATAAGGCTTTCATAGAGAGAGAAAATGGTCTCCAGGTTTCCAAAAATACAGTTTCCTTAAAATGGGAATATCTCAGATCTGAACCTTGTGGGGATTAAACCAATGTATTTATAAGCAGAAATTATACTTTTTGCTCTAAAAAACAAGTCACAGATTAAGTTATTTAGCTGAGATATACTCAGTTTCACTAACCTTATATTGACAACAATTGTATTGTCACCTTAGCTCATTAGAAAAGTTATAGTTTATAGAACCTCAAAGGTCAATAAATTATTTCAGCAGTGTTTCTATCCAGTGCTAGCTTCACTTTCCTCAAGCATCTTAACAACTGTCCAGGAGACACTGAAGCTACTTACTTTACATGGAAAAAACGTGGTAGAAATTTAGCGACCAGTTTCATGAAGCTTGAAAATTCTATGAAATTCAATGATATATGTATAAAAAAGTCAGTGAGGAAACATAATTCTGGTAAATCACACTTATCACAGGTTATAAAATCACACATTTTATATTCTATCAAAATGAGATCATATTAGATCATAGATATTTAAATAAAATGAGATCTCAATTTTTGAATACCTTGGTAATAATTTGAAGTCACTGAATTTAAATCATTCGATAATTTCTATATAGTTAGGAATGCATTATTACATTTAAAGACTTAAAGTTAACGTTAACATTGAAAAATAGGTGGAATCATGTAACACAAACTATAAACTTCTCAAAATGCAACCACTTTCCATTAGAGATCAGTGAGTGAAGTTTTAGTAAAATATTCCTATTGATTTTTGCCTTTTTTTTTTTAAGGAGAAGAGCATATTGTATAATCCTTAATAAAATGGTTCAGAATACTTCAGTTCCAATTATAAATATCTGTACAAGATTTAGTCTGTTAATTATTTGAAGTTGGCAAGTTGTCACACCCACTCATTGCTTACAAAGGCTCTGCATTACATGAGTTAGATTTAGGGAATTTGTGAATAGGATATTTACTTGAATTTGTGCCATCATTCCTTCTTACCTTCATCAAATTCCAGCCTGGAGAGATTATAAAGACATCCCACTGTGGATGCCCTGGAGCAGAGTTGGACCAGATTTGCCAGGAGGACTTGCCAGAATACTCCATGCTCAACCTGTCAGTTAAATTTCTGTGACAGGAATCAGTCCTGTTCAGTTGCTAATGGAAGGATGTATCAAAACTGATTATCAACTGTTTTCAGTTAGATTTAGATAAAGATTTATAATACAAGTAAAAATAGGATTTATGTACTGCCATGTGCAACATCTAACAAGCTTTCCTTTTCTAGCCTTTGTATTATTTTCCTTTCTTTGCAATGGTAGAAATTAGTATTTTCCAGAAATTGCAGCCTTTTTTTTTTTTTTTCTGGCTCATTGTCTCCATATTACCAAGGCTTGGACTATAGTTTGGACCTTGTTATATTGCCAGTTTGACCAGATTATAAAGATACGGTTTGAACACATTTTTCTTGAATCATAAATTTTTGGGAATCTACCCAGGTTTTAGCCAGACTGCCTGGAGCTTTGACAGAGTAGCAGTAGGAACAAAGCAATTATTCTCTACTCACAATATATGTTGAATTGGATTTATCTAGCATGTAAAAGTTTTAGGATACTATTGATACAGAATTTTTTAAATTACAGCCTACTTTCTTGGCAAAGACTTAACAAGAGGGGAAGGGCATCTGTTGCTTTAACCCATCAATCATCCATTTATTCTTATTTTTAATATGTAAACACTATTCCAAGCACTAGAAATATACACATGAATAAAATGAATATCTTTTCTGCATGCAATTTACATTCCAGTGGAGAGAGACTAAGCTAATATATAAATCATATAACTGTTAGAAAAAAAATCAGTGTTCTTGCTTTGGGAACAGGTTGCAATATTAAATATGGAGTCTGGTCTCAGATGTGAGTAAATGCATGAAAGATGTTAATCATTCAAATATCTGTTGAAAGAAGATTCTAGGCAGAAGGAAGAATCAGTAGAAAGCCCCGAATGGGAATGATGATAAAATAGGGAAAGAAACCAGATGATATATGACCAAGCACTACATACTGATGCAACTATGTACATTCTTGAGCAGGTGAAAGAAAATGGGATCTAGTGCACAGCTGGGGGCAGAGAAAGTTAAGTATATATAAAGTATATATATACTTTAGTATTTATATAAATTGTATATAGACACACCCCATATATATGTATACACATGCTCATACAATATATGACTACACCATTATCAAGAAGTTCACAGTCTATAAGAGAAACAGAAAATGACCAGTATAGCTTGATAAATATATAAATAACAGTTATAACTGAATATCTAAGGAAAGCTACATCATTCAAGCATGGGTAATTGTATTGACTTCTACTCACAGATTATTCCAAGGATGAGCATCATCAGTATCATCTGGGAACTTGGCAAAATGCAAAAATCTTGAGGCTTACCTGAGACCAACTGAATTATTTGCATTTTAACAGGACACTAAGGTAATTCATAAAGATGTTAAAGTTTAAGAAGCTTGTTTTAAAGGATTTTAGGAGTAGGGTGGTCCATTCCAGAGAGAAGATAGAATGTAAGTAAAGGCCTTGGAAAAGAAAAAAAGAGAACATGCCCACCACCAAACCCTCTGTGTTGTATGCTGAGAACTGCAGAAAGTTCAGGGTTGCTGGAGGAACAAAACAAAACAAAAAAAAACCTGCAGTTACCCTGGGAGGAGGTAATGTGAGAGAGGAAAATAGAAGAGGGTTTATGGGCTAACCTGGTCACTAAGATACATTCTGTAGCTACTGGAGGCTATTAAGGGATTTGTCTAGTGGGGCAATATGGTCTGCATTTTAGCCAAGTCCTTGAGGTAGCCAGATGAGGACTTAAGAAGGCCTGGATTACACCTTGGGCACTTTCCATTGTACTTAAAGCATCCTTGAAGTTACTTAAAAGTTTTTTTTTTTTTACTGTAAATTTATGAAAGCATGGCACAGATTTAGAAAATGTCAAAACTTCTAAACATAAAAGTTTTATGTTTAACATGAGAAATGTCATACTCACAATATAAGGATTTATAAAAGCTAACTAAACTTTTTAAAGTCTACAGAATGTTCTATCAGAGTGATGGACTATAATTAAATGTAATACTATAATTAAATGTAATACATTCAGGTCAATCTTTTTCATGATCATAATGAAAAATATTTGTACTAAGAGAGCTTTTATGTTTTTCTGGTATTTTTCAGACCTTTCACTAAATGATAAATAAAAAACCATCACTTTTGGTATACATTTCCAAAACCGATCACAAAACTTATTTACTCCAGGTACTCTAATTGTGAATATAACTTTTATGTATTATAGTATCATACTGTACTCAAACTTTTTTTCATGTAGTTGAACTGCAATATTCCTTAAGCTAATAATACCAGTCTGTGATTAAGCTTTCTAAGTAGTTACCATATATCCCATATTACTATTCATATATTGAAATCTATAATGAAAGCATACAAGCTAAAAATTATGCCTTAAAGAAAAAAATTTCAAAGATAATATTTCTCATTCATAATTAAGTCATTTAGGAACTGTCCTTGGAACTCACACTGTAATGCCAAATAAGTGCTGTTTAGCCAAGTAGATATTTAGGAAAGAGGATTAAAATGTGAATTAAGCTGAGGTTCCAGAATATTATTAGGCAAACATTATTATTAGCCTATTACTTTATATGATCAAGAGAAAAATTAGTATATAATTGCACTCACATATTTTTGTCACCTTTACCTATTAAATTGATAACAATATTGATTTGAATAACTAACTTTAGGTAAAATATGATTAAAATGCAACATAAGCCTAACATATCTGTTATATTAACAAATGCAGACAAAATTAGAACTGCAGAAATGTAACAGTTCCATAAAAATTTTTTCAATATTTATATAAAGTGGAAACTAAAAAAAGTGAGGTCTGCAAAGATCTATGAAAGTTTAAGAAGGGAGAATTTTTATGGTAAAAAGTAAACTTAGATTATATAAAAGTAGTTATATTAGGTGTATATGAACTTAAAAATTGGGTGTCAATAAAATGGGTATTACTAAAAATGTCTGAATGTTTGAAATTTAGAAACAATATTTAATTTTTATATACTTTAACAAAAATAATTGATAAAAAGAGCTTATAGAATGGTATTACCCCCATGAGGGTATGAAGAAAATAGCTTTTTTATTCTCCCTGGAAAATAATACCAACTTAACTATGTATAATTCTTTCTAATGTTTAAAGTGATTTAACTTGAATAACACTGGCCTAAGGGATTAGGGAATTGGGACCAGGTTTTTAGGAGTACTCTGACTTTGTACATAATAAGGAAGATTTGATTACTCTTACAATTTTGTTAAATACTAAAATTATTTTCTATGGTACAATAGAGCAGAAATCTGGAGAGGCAAGATTTTGTCTTAAAGTTGCATATGCATGGAAATCTCCATAAGATTTTGAAATATTCCATTGAAGGACTAGGGTTGCTAGCAATTATTGTGAGGAAAAGGATGGTAAAACTAAAAATACTTAATGTTTAAATTGGAGAAACTCAATAATATTTGAAGAAGATATATTTTTATTTCAAAGCCAAGAACTCACACCTTGTTCAGAGTGTGCCAGGGTCCATCGCTTAAGCTTGCATTTCCAGAAACTTGATATTGTTTATGAACCAAGAGTTGAAGGAGACTCTTGCACACAGGGTTGTCCTTCAACTCACAAGGCTTGAGCATTACAACTTGTAACTACAGAGAGAGAATAAAATTTCAGTAGGATTAGATCATCACGTGTGCTGTACTTCTTGAAAATGTCTAATTTCTGATTCTACCATTTCTGTTACATTCTAGGCATCACCTTAAGTCTTGCTCTATTTTTAAAGTGACTTCCACATTTTACTGCATTAGCATTCCCAGTCACGATGATGCCATACGGTAGCTAAGCATTACTCATAATTGCAGGACTCAGAGTAACTCTAGACTTTAAAGATTTATTTATTTTATGGGGAGGTGGCAAAGGGAGAGAGTCTTAAGCAGACTCCACGCTGAGCATGGGGCCTGATCCAGGGCTCGGTCTCAGGACCCTGAGGTCATGACCTAAGCTGAAACCCAGAGTCAGATGCTGAACCAATGGTGCCACAAGAATTACTCTAGATTTTAATCATGATTATGCTTCTAATAAAACAAGTTTAGATTAGTTAACATATATTGAATACTTACTGCATACCCAGTACCACACTATGTGTTTTATATGTAACATCTTACTTCATCTTCTTAACAAGCCTGTAAAATAAGTGCTAGTATTATAACCCTTCTAAACAAGAGGAATTTGAGACTCTCTGCATAAGAAACTTGCTGTATTACACAAATAAAAAAAATTAATGACGGTTTCATTTCAAAGCTTAAAGTCACATTTCAAAATGAAACCTTTAAAATAATTACCCTATATCAGAAAAAAGGAAAATGTCAACTAATTTTTAGGAATACAAGGAATGTTTAGCAAGATGTAAGTTTTATAAAATAATTCAGTTAATAAGATTTAATTAAATACTATACATCAACAAAATTTAGAAAAAAATTTAAATACCCCATTATAAATATATAAACATATATTATAAATAAATATAAATATAAAATTCTTAGAAATAAATAAAATGTAGTATACAATTTCTAATGAATAAGGATGGCCTAAAAAATTTTAAACATACTATGTTCATGGAAATTAAAACATTAAATATTGAAATAATGTCAAATTATCCTATAGAATATAATTCTGGGCTAAATACAAATCAGGTGGCTCATGGAAACATGAATAACTGTGTTGTTTCCAAAATTATGAAGAATCAATAATACCTTTTATATTTCTGAGGAAAAAAAGCTAGAAGAGAGCCTACCCTATTACATATAAAGGTTTATAATGCAGGCCCTAGAAATTCATAGGAAAAAGGGACAAATAAAGTAACCCCCAAAAACAGACCCATAGATTTCATAGAGGAAATTTGATGCACAGAATATATAGAATTTTTATATCTGACAAATTTGATATATTTCCTCTATATAGAAAAGTAGATTGCATATCTATCTTACCTCATACATAAAAATTAACCCAGGGGCACCTAAGTGGGTTAATTAAGCATCTGACTTCATTTTGGCTCAGGTTGTGATCTCAGGGTCTTAAGATCAAGCCCTGCATCAGGCTCCATGCTGAATGCAGAGTCTGATTAAGACTCTCTCTCCCCGCCCCTCTCCCCGTGCTCGCTCGCTCGCTCTCTCTCTCAAATGACAAATGCAAAACTTTAACAAATTTTAGTACAAAATAGATTAATATTTCTCTAAACTGAGTAAGGAAGTATTTTTAGCATTTTTAAATACATTCTAATATAAGAAAATATTGACAAATTTTATTTAACAAAATATTCCTCAAAGATATCTTAAATAAAATGGAAAAATAAGTTATAAAGTTGATATATACTAGGTGGAGACACTTTATATTCATCCTTTGTTATAAGTGTTCCAAGATTATAATGTAATAATGTACAGATGAGAAAAAAAGGAAAATCTCCAAATAGAATGAGCGTAAATTGGAATAAACACAAAAGAAAACATTAAAGATGTATCAAATATGTTATTAACCAGATAGGCAAAGTTTTAGTATCTCACAACTTGTGATTGTTCATGAGAGGTAAATTACTAAACCATTTTAGGAGACATGATGGTATAAAGTTATAACTTAGTAACTCTCCTCCTAGTTATCTCAAAAGAAAACTTTGCCCATATGCATCGGGAGGTATATACAAGGATATTCAGAGCAACACAAGGCTACAAACTAACACTGATGGACAGGAGGGTGGTTTAATGTCATAGCATATTTATGCAGTGCTATAATGCAAAACATATACAACCAATAGACTACAGTGAGACATAAATAAGTTTTAGCAACTGAATTAAAAAACAAGTATCTAAACATTGCATACAGCATGATAACCAAATTTTTGTATATTGAAGTTAAAATGTAATGTTTCCTTTAGTTTTTAATATTTATATTTGCACATATACATACACTTAGCATATGTGTATGTATAAACACATGTTATGTTTAAATATATCTAAATATATATATTTATACATGTTAAAACTATATATTTTCAAAATCATGGGAATAGTAAGTACAAGTTCCAGTATAGTGACTGACTTAGGGGAGGAAAGGGTAGAAAAGGAGAGTGCCTAAATAGAAAGGATTTGTTCAAATACTCTAGACTCCATATAGATGTTTATTTTATTGAATACATGTATTAATTGTTATTGAAAGTAAATGAATATTCTCATATACTCATGTATATATACAAAAGAAACTCATGCATAAGAGTGTGTCATACAATAGTGCCTTCAAACAACACTTTAGACTAGATGGACATAACAGATATATACAGAATATTCCATCCCCAAAAAACAGAATATACATTCTTTAT